ACGAATACTGCTACGTTACCAAAATAAAGCATTTATTTGATTTGTTGTTTTTTGAATAAAAACAAGTATCTACTAAATTGCCAGTAGATACATGTTACTAATAAAATCATTATAAATTAAAATAAAGTTTGAATCAATTAACTGATCCTAGTTGTGCGATCATATTTACATATTATTCATAAGTTTGACCCTCGATTTGATAACTTGAACTGAAGATTACACGACGTCTTCATGCTCTTATTTTTATTGTTTTTATGCCATTGGGAAACAGAAAATGAGAAGAAACTTAGGATCGTAGAACATTTTATATTTTCCATTTGGACTACATTATACGCATATTCTCGGGTAGACATGGCAACCATCATCACCGGTGAAAATGCCCCGGATGTCCGCCCCGAGAATACTAGTACATCAAAATGTTGATACATGTTAAAGTTGGAAAAGACAATGTGAAATGATATTTAGTCCAGATAAAACGTAATATTTCAAGGAACGCGGAATATAGAACCCTCTATAATGCGTCCAAGACTTCTACGACCTAATTAGTTAATTATACATGCAATTCAATTTCGAACATGGAATCTCAAGCGAGTCGTCTGACTAATACTCGAGTGCACGCGTTGAAAGGTGTACAGAACCACAACCAATGCTACACTAGCATGGATCATATAAATATAAAAGTATATTAAGTTTCATTTTGTGTGTAAGGGAAATAATTTACAACTACTCAGTCTGATTAAGTATGGTTCGTGTTGTGTGTGTTTTAGGAGGTGGAGTTAACAATCGAGCAAGATAGAAGGGTCAACATGAAATGGAAGGAACCAGATGAAAGGATTAGTAGATTTTTTATTTTTTGCATTATGATATTCTCGAGAAAGCAAAACCACCACTTCTATTCATCGCCACTCTGGAGATTGTGATCTTTATTTAACCAAGGAATACACATTTTCAAGAAGTTATTGTTTGTTTCTGTTTAATACAAATTTAACTTGAAATGACCGTAATTTTGGGGAATTATTTTTACAATTTCACGAAACGTTTCAGTGGACATATTTATTCAGTTGCAGTCAAATCGAGGGTTTAATTGGTTTGAACTAAATAAATAAATAAATAAATAAATAAATAAATAAATGAGCATTCATTTATGCAAATGTCTAGTATTGTTTCAAAAAAACGGTATACAAAGTATTTTTTGTGAATTGTTTCTACGAATTACTTGCATTATCTAACTAATTAAATATTTTTTTTGTTTTTTTATTAGGTTGTTTTAAGATGCACGTGTAATATTATACATTTTAGTGCCTACACATAATTTGGTGTCAAAAACTGATTTAAGGTTTGTTATATTAGAAACATTTTAAAAGTGTTATTTTTATTACGGCAAAGCGGAAGTGTACCATTTGACGTATTTAGCTAATAAACACTTTCCACAATGTTATTTCAGGTACATACATGTACCACATATTTTTTTAAACACGTTTTCAGTGAAAGCACTTTTAAGCACTTTTCGAACTTTTGTGATAACACAAACTTGTCAATGCGTATTTTCGTTTGCGTTGTGACAATTAACTGTTCTTTAAAACATGTCACCGCTCGAGACACTATTCCACGAATCGTGATCATCAAAATATTACAAATTATGTTATATGCAGAAGCGATACAATCATAAAACATTTAGTTTATGTGTGGTAACTTATAGTTACCCTGTTAAATTGGTCATTAATTATGAATTAATTGTCATACGTGGCTTATTGAACAGTTTTAATTAATTCGTCAACAGAGGGCGCGGTGCAGTGCCGACCAGAAACATACACGTTTGTTTTAACCCACACTGGACCGAGTGCGTTTCCGTCTCCATCCAATAGGGCGCCACAACATTCCCAGTACGAGGTAAACAAACTTACCATTATAGTACGCCAAGGCATATGTGGTTAAATGTTTGTATGTGTTTTTTAATACTCGGATATTTAGTATAAATGTTGAACATTGGGTTGAAGCTCAGCACCTGGGTGTACTCCGCTGGAACAAACCCACGTACAGTCAAGTTCTTACTATTTTGCTGACAGGTTGGTGTACTACAGAATTGTTTGTATAAAGTACATAGAATATGTGATATCACAGAAGCACTATATTGAACATTAATTGAAAGTTTAGTCAACTATGCAAAGTATATTCATTATTATGTTCGACTATGACTGGTTAACATCGTATGAAACATTCCTTTGTCGACGAGTGACATATGACCTCTGATTTCGATATTTATAAATCCAGCCAACAAAATGTTAGACATATTATAAATCATGTTCGGTATCCCTAGATAATAGTTTTGCATTGTCGTGGTCATATACCTGTGAGATAAAGTCATGAAAATACAATTTTTGAGGCAAAATAGTATTAAACAAACCACATCATCAGGTAAGGTCTCAAACCTTTTAAATATGCTTGTAGGTAGAAAGCTCTTCAATGGCATCCAATTAGTCATGCAAGTATTGTAATTTCATAATTTTAATTTCTGGCGTGCTTCTTTTACAATACATAGTTTATTAAACACATGTATTTTCGAGTAAACTCATTTCAACATTTATTAATGGTGTCCCTGGATCATCGATCATTATACGAGTCATGATTTAAACCAGTGGAGTTGTTATAGTTACAGGGGGGGTTTCCTTGGTTACATAATATTGCCCAAAAACTACTAATTCTTTTTAACGGCGGACAGACAAACAACTTAATATACTCAAAACGTTATTTTGGTCTATATTCGAATATTCAATGGCATATTCAGTGTTTATTTTCATAACCGTATTTATTTATTTATTTATTTATTTATTTATTTATTTATTTATTTATTTATTTATTTATTTATTTATTTATTTATTTATTTATTTATTTATTTATTTATTTATTTATTTATTTATTTATTTATTTATTTGATTCTACATTGGCGAATGAAGGCCAAGCGTATTCTAGATAGAGTTATTTGTATTTTAATGATGTACAATTTTT